GTGAGTGATTCCCATCCGCCATTCAGGAAGGCAGGAACAATGCAAACTTCCTGTGGTGGGAGTCACCCAGGCTCAGCTTGGGTGCTCTGAAAGCAGTATTCTAAGCTGAAAATACTCTAGGAATCTGATAACTCATAATATAGGTTATTAATCATAAGAATTAAAGGTAACAATAGAATCAGATAAATGGAACAGGAAGAAATAACACTATCTGATAGGAATCTGATTGACTCACTTCTCTCTGTAGGTAACTGTGAATAACAGAAATAATAGACAAACGTAAAGATGATGATGACCCGGGAGGGCCAAGAAGTTAGATGAGAGAAGGAGTCAAGATCGAGTAAAAGCTGAAAAGATTGGTAGGCTAACCTAACAAGCTGCTCTCCCTACTGAGGCAGGAAATGAACTGAGCCTGGGGTGACTCCCACGACAGGAAATAGGAAGTTTGAATTGTTCCTGCCTCCCTGAATGGTGGATGGGAATCACCCACAAGATGGCCTCCGCCTCAGGGGAGAAGACCTAATCACTAGGGAGAAGGCTTCACATGACTTCTTCAGTGCTACTTCATTTTTTCTGTCTGTGGGATCATTTAAAGCAGTCTCTCCATCCTTAGATAACACAGCCCCAGAAGGCAGAGCAGCCACCAGCATATTGACCAAGGGGACTTTTAAATTTTCAATAACAGAGTCAGGAAGGGAGTGGAGGTTTTTTTAGCTGTATAGTAAACAAGCTGTTGCCTGAATTAGGTACAGCCCATTCTGCTCATAGCTTCCTCAAAATGCTCAAAGGGGCAAACCAATGAAACCAACAACAGTTTCTTAAAGTCTCACTCATCTAGACTGGAAGAGGCCAAGGATTTAACCTAACCTGAGAAATCATGTTTACAGGTGAGTGCTTGGATTACTTTGGGTGAAAGTCTTGTAAAGTATTTTGCCTGGAATAATGTAGTGGACTGTGACGTCCTCCTTATTGGGGAGGACTATGTTCACTTTAAATGATCTCTTTATTATGTTTAACTGGGTAGATTCTGCTGCCACCAGGAAATTTTAAGGATTTCCAAACCTTTATGCTCTTTTTAATTTGGTAGACCGAGTTCAAGGCTTACGAGGAACTATGTGGTCCTGAGAAGTATTTCATTCAGAGCTGGTATAAACTTAAATAAAAGAGGATTTATTGAAATAAATACTAAATAAGAGGGTGATACAACGTAACTAGTAATGTGTAAATGATGTACAATTTCTTTGGTATCACACTCAATCTTTTCCCTCACTGACAGGGATCTTTTCATGTAACTTTGTAACACTTGTTTATCTCAATGCCTTATATGTTCACTGTTTCACTCCAGTCTGTTATGACTCTCAGACTTTCCTTTAACTTTACTTCACTTAAATTTTACTTTACTTTGTCCTATACATTTAGCTTTCAGCTCTCTTTCTCTTTCTCACTGAACAACCGCAGCTGTCCACTTCTAACTGCTTCAACACAGAACTGTCTGAACATCAACTGTCAACATCTAACTGAAACTAGACTGACTCACATACTCATCCAACCAGATTCACTTCCGAAACCCCTCCCCCTCTCTGTCAACCACCAATCATACCACACTTGCCTCTCTCAACCACTCAAGTCTATCTATCACATCCCTGCAACCAAACACCCACAAAAACAAGGCATCATTACATGGACCATCAAGACAGACCACCAAATATATTGACATGACTATTACCGCCATCTTTAAGCAATATTATTAGTATAGATCTGTTACCAGCACTTTGATACTGAATTGTTTTAGAAGGTTTTATGATTGTTCTAATTATTTATGTGTTTTTATCTGTTATGTAAGCTGCCCTGACCCTGCTTCCGTGGGGAGGGCGGGGTATAAATTGAACAAATAAATAAATTTCAGGTGTAGGGATGTCCTCCCTGACCCCTCCCCCTTTTTGTCAGATAGGACAGACTGGGTTTCTGTGTCATTCCTCATTATGCCCAGTTGATGGTAGTGGTGCATCATACTTGTGGGGCACATACTGATTGGCCTCACATATGGTGGAAAATCCAAGTCATATGAGAGTGGGCCCTTCCCCTGGGTTCTGGAGAGGAATTGGAAACAATCAGACAGGAACCTCAGCACCTTTTCAGCTCCTACCAAGGCATCTTTTTTGATATATAGGAAGCCTCCTGGGAAGGAATCTGAATGAAGGGTGTGTTGCCACTACAGAGCCTCTAAACAGGGCCTGCCCTCCCACTTTTCCCTTTGGAAACTGCAAGCTGCTGAGTAGAATATTACCAGGGAACAAAGCCCTGGGAGCCAGAGGCGGCTTCTGAAGACATAGGCATTTGAGGGAAGCCTCTGAAGCCCTGCTGTGACTAATCAAAGGTGCTTAGGATGGGTGGGAAACCTGCATAAAATGGAAAGGGTGACATCCCCACTATATGGGGAGGCAGCCCTGAGGGAATTGCCACAGCTGCACTGCTTTGGGCTGCCTGCACAGGCATTGTGGAGCTGGGGGAGGGGAATCCCAGCCATACCACAAGGGGGCCTACCTATACCAACAATGAAGCAGGGGGCTGGTGAGAGACCACCTATGTACCCACACCAGCTGATGCCCCAGAGGGATGAAAAGGCCCATCTGGAAGCCTTGGTGGCCGCTGGGCCAGAGATAAACTCTGGGGGATCATCAACAAGCAATCCTTGCCTATCACCACAACCCCAGGGCAGTTCTGGAGAGGTGAACAGTGAAGAACCAGCCCTTAAAGGAGCCTTGGCCTTCTTCCTCTTGGTCGCTGCCACAAGAAGCCTTAAGGCTGCTGAGGCAGTTGATTTGTTAAACTGCCTTGGGCATAGTAAATAGCTGGAAGCAGCTAGCCCAAAAAGCCCCAATAAACTAGGTTCTCTCTCTTTTTGGGCCTCCAAGAAGGTGCTGGCTAAGTAAGTCTTGCCTGAAGCAGGCAGGGCTTTCTGACTGGGGTCCTACTACTCTTCTTAGGGATCCGTTTAATTTGCAAAAACACTGCCTTGGAACAAGTAGTAAGCATAACCTAGAGAAGGATAACTTCCTCTCCACTGAAGTAGAATAGGACTGTACTGCCTGTAGAACTATTGTTTAGAAAATGTAGAAACTTCCACCATTCAAAGCAAGATTCATTTACATACACTACTACACCTCCCAAAAAATCCTTACATAGTAGTGACTTTCAACAAATTGTGTTTCCTTATCAATTTAAACAGCTATGCAACATGCAACTTGACATTTTTAGCAAAAAAATGAGCAATTCAACTACAATTAAATCATGACGATGAACATTATGAAGAACTGTTGACAAAAGTAAAATAGATGTGTTGAGTCAGCCAAGGTTCAACAATAGTGACATCTCCTCAGGAGAAGAGGAGCCCCATGTAGCCAGCTCTGAATCAGCAGAAGTTGGCAAGCAGAAAGATGAGCTGCAGGCTTGTCAGGGTCCATAGCTAACAGCTGGTGCAGAGTCACTGACACCCTCCAGCCCCAATTCAACAGGTGAAACTCAGTTGGTCCTTTCCAGTTCCCCAGGAAGAAGAAGAGCTGGATTTATACCTGTGAGGTAGGTGGGGCTGAGAGAGCTCTGAGAGAACTGCTCTTGAGAACAGTGGCTGACCCAAGGTCAGCCAGCTGGCTGCACATGGAGGAGTGGAGAATCAAACCCAGTTCTCCAGATTAGAGTCTGCTACTTTTAACCACTACACCAAACTGGTACGGTATCAGTATTACCCATACCCTTAGAGCACCACAGACAAACCCTACAGGAGAGATGACAAAGTGCATGCCTCCTGGCCCGATGCCATCTGCTTGCTGCTGCTTGCTGCTTTCCCGATGCCATCTGCTTGCTGCTGCTTGCAAAGATGAGTAGTTAAAGCTCTCTGACTCTATCAGATCCTGCCTTGTTCCTGCCACTCTTTTGACCATTCCCAGACTCTGCCCTTGAACCTGCCCATGGATAACTCCTGGACTTCCAGACCTTGTTGTACAGCCTGACCCTCGGACCAGACTACTGATGGCTCTCAACTCTGTGCTTTGACCTTGAACCAGAGTTCCACTATACTGCTTGAATTGACGCCCTTGCCTTACTCCTTCCATGTTCTGACGGTGCAGCCTGTGCCGTCCCTGGCCCAGCTCCTAACAAGTATGAATAGAATCTCCAATGTACTTAACTCACATTTCCAATATGTGTACACACCAAGCTTCGACCCTCTGAACTCCTAACAACCAGTTACAATGTTGCCATATCAGAGTTATTGAGTCATTAAGGTAAATACTAGGGGTATTCTGATATTTCCAGAATGACTTCTGCCATTAAACCAAATTTCTTAAGTGCACATCTGTATGAACACATCTGTATGAACACATCTCAGCTACAGCATGAATATTCTAATTATTTTTTCGGAGAATTCATAAATTCATATCCAATGACAGATTTAAGAAGCAGAAACAGATCCACAATTTAGAAGATTAGGAATGAGGATGGTATTTTAGTACCGCTATACTTAATGAAAATCCAGGAAACACAGACATTATGCATTTTTTGATCTTGCTCAACAGCCATTTCTCTACAATTAGAAATCATACTGTGCATCTATCATTAGAAATCCACTCCATGAAATAAATACAGGCTGGCAGCTCAGAGCAGTGTTTACAAGGTACTCAACCTGAACACCTTTTTCTTGGTTGTGGTTGTGACACCTTTGGGGCCCACAACAATGCTTGTCAAGTCACTTAGAATGGGGCACCTATTTTGGTCATCTGTTAAAAAAATCTCACATTAAGTTTCTGATTTGCTTTCAGGCAGTTAAAAAAGCAATTCTGGGGTTCTAAACTTCTGTTGAAGTGTAAATTAGAAGGTCAAACAATTGCTTTTTCATTTCTGCATTCACAACAACGCAGAATACAAAATAAGCTTTTAAATAAAATTTTATTTGCTTATATACAATAAAGGCAAAGATAAGTATGATTTCCTATTTTCCCTGTTTAAAGACGCACCATTTAGCCATTAAATATGCAGCCTAGTGAATAAGGCTAAATATTTACAAGACACACTAGTACCGCATAAGCACTTGTAAGATTTCATTGTAACAGCCACAAATATGTTAAAAACCTCCAGGGCTTTATAAAGAGCATCTAAATCCTGAAAAATAGGGGTTTTCTCCCTCTGAAGATGCCACTTAAAAATGCAAACCTTGCTTGCAGCTTTCTACATGAAAGTAAGATGGCAAACATGCAATGCAGTACAAATGTGATAATGGATCAGAAAACCCTCTTCATTTAGTCAGATGTGCAATTAAATCTTAGAACACTAATTTGTTACATTCCTTATCTAACACCATTAGTGTTACTTAAATAACTTTATTCTACTTAGTATATTTGCCTTCCATAAATCTTGACTAAGAGTTCAAGATTAAGAGCCGATAAAACGGTATCCATATCACAGAATACACATTTGATAAACAGTGGGAAATATACTACATGAAGTTAGAGACTGCTCCAGAAACAAAGGACTGAGCAGGGTTTTTTCCATGTGTTAAATAATTCGATTTTGTAACACTAATTCAGATGCCTTTTAATTCACTCCCTCTAAAGCAACTTCCAATGCAAATCCATTGAACAGGTAGCAGAAGCTGTTTTGTTACTTTACTAGCAAGCCAACAAATGTATGCAGTTTAACTTCAAGCACTTCTGCTTAGCTTGACTGTGGAACAAGCATGCTGGTACTGAACATGATCACAGGTGAGGACTACCAACTTAGTAGTTCTGTAAGAAGTCTGACTCATTCAAGATAATGTTCTGGAATGGAACAAGTACAAGTCTGAAGGATTCATTGGATTGAAGGAGAAATCAGAAAAATCTTTGGCCTCACCTCTGGGTTTCTGGATTAAACTGCATACCTTCTTCATCTAACTGAATTTCATTACAAACCTGTGCTCAAGGTTTCCAACTATGCTCCATAAATTATTTTACCATTTTAATTCAATGATTTAATACATGTCATATCATAGTCCTGAAGTCTTATAACTATGTTTGGTACATACATTTCACCTCAGCATAGTAAGAGACTCCATTCCATATATATAATTCAAAGAATCAGTACTGAACTGGAATTCCAATCGTCTGTGCTAATTTGTCTTCTGTAGTGTTTTGTCAGAGCTTGACACATTTCTGGGAAGAATGGGAGGGCAGTCTGAGGTTTAAGCAAATTTAATCCACAATCTTTTCTGTTGGAATATCAGAATTCTCTCTCTCTTCCAAAGAGTTATAGAGTCTATCAGATGTTGGTTCAGTAGGCATTGTTGGAGTCACAGTGTGTCCAAACCCTTGATAGTGACCCACAGGAGACGATGGTATGGAAGAGGAAGCAGAAATAGGGTCTTGAGTGGATGAAGACAGTAAACTTGTATGTTCATTCTGTTCATGATCTTCACCAAAAAACATTTTTCTTGGTTGACCAAATACTGTTCTTCCTGAAGACAAGACATTTTAATGAAGATTTTCTTGGCTTTGACACAATTAGAGAAGTACAAAATTGGCAAAATAAATGTTAGTAAATATATCAGTTTTATTTGCTAGAGATGCATTTTTTTACTTGCATGCATCACTTACCAACATTGCGAACCTGTTCAGATACATCTGCCCGGATATCAGAAATATCCCACATTGCAAGAAAGGAATCAAAGCAAGAGCCTTCTTCCGCTTCTTGCACATAAGGCTTGTAGGAAAAACTGTAGTGATGAGCAATTGCAGCAAAGAACATCTCCACACAGATGATAAAATCCTGAAATAAAAGGGGGAGGGAGAATTTCACTAATGTTTCATGACACAACTGCAGATTTGCCTTATATTCTTCACAGGATCTTCTTCAGATATAAAGGATGATTATTTTATGGAACAATAGCATCCCAAAACTTTAATGCAAAATATGATATCTAAGGCATTGCCAGCCAACGAGAGCCTCATAGTCAAATTAAATTATGGGCTACAAACATTATGCAGTCTACTAAAACTGTAACTTCTTTACCATGTCTTCCCATTTAATCAGATAGTGGACACAAAACCAAGGACAATGGCACCCTTCAAGAACCAAGTTATACAGCCCAGAAGGATGCCCTAGAAAGCGAGCAGTGTAGCTTGCTAACAGTAACACTCACTACTGTATCCACACTGAAACACCAGTTTGCATTCAAATAGTTATGTATAGTTATGTATTGTGGAGCAAGGAAACTGTTGTTCACACTAACAGCGCAATCCTATGTTTAGTTCACTCCGCACAGAATTCCACTGCAAATGACTGAATGAGCAGTCATAATATTTATGTTGAAAAGGTAACGATTTATTTCTCTAAAACGAGAGGAGTGTTTTTGTTCACCTTTATATTCACAACCACTATTCCTACTTACTTGTAATCCAGTTGCCACCTCTTCTACACTGTTCCATTCCCATGTATTATGCTCAGAGATAACACCAACTTTCACCAACAATGCAATAACTACAGCTTGCCTATAAAAAATATTGGCAACAAAAAGGTTAAGGACATCACTGTGCTCAAAACTCTGTAAGAGACACTGTTAAGAGACAGGTTCACTCTGTAAGCAAGTCAGAAAAGTATTAAGAACATGAGAGAAGCCATGTTGGATCAGGACAATGGCCCAACCAGTCCAACACTCTTGTGTCACACAGTGGCCAAAAGCCAGGTGCCATCAGGAGGTCCACCAATAGAGCCAGACTACAGAAGCCCTGCCACTGTTGCCACCCAAGCACCAGGAATACAGAGCATCACTGCCCCAGAGATAGTATTCCATTTATACCTTATGATTAATAGCCATTTATACCTTATGATTAATAGCACCTCTGCTCCATATGTTAATCTAATCTCCTCTTAAAGCTATGCTTGTAGCTACCACTACTTCCTGTGGCAGTTAAAATGCAAAGACAATAATACAGCACACCAGTGAAGTACTTGAATGGGACTTGGCAAATTCTGGTCAGACTTCACACAGGAACAGTGAACACACATCAGCCAGGATAAAGGAAGCTCTAGAGAAACTCTGGTACTTGGCTGAAAGATGGCTCCTAGAAAGAACAGATCTTTCTCCAGATAAAATTGTGTTCTGCACACACACACACTTTTGGCGCTGAACTAGAAAGTGCTGTTCACTTTCTGTAAGATTCAAAAGGCCCAATGCAGCAAAGTCCAAGCATTTTAAATTCTCATTGATTTTAATGGGTGAGTCATGTACCAGATAAATCTCTCACGTGGCAATAAATAAAATTTAGAAGTGCATAGTTTACCTTTGGATGGATCATGCTTTTGTTTTTTTATGAGTTTATAATCATTTCTTTAGCTAACAAAAGCACAAAGACAACTGGAAGCTTGTAGACAGGGCTGGTCTTACCTTTTAATTATTGTACCACACCTAGCATATTTAGACATTTATATACTAGCACCAATTCCCTTCATTATTTTAATATTTAGCTTTGTTTTTAACAAAATCAATGCAACTTGTAACTCTGCTTACAAATATTTCACTTACCAAAAAGAAACAAAAACCACCATCTTGACACACAGAAACTTGCCCACAGGTTTGATTGGGTTTAGTTCTTCCCGCAGTACTTTATAAAACAATACAAGGCAGTACATGGCAAACTAAAATAGAGGGATAAAATTCTTAGAACTCAAATATCTGAACAATGCAGGTTTTTCTTTTGACAAAATTAGTAAGTTGTATAGCAAAGCAAATATTGAGTCTATTCTTGTTCCAAATGTTTACACTCATAAGAACATAAGAGAAGCCAATGTTGGATCAGGCCAATGGCCCATCCAAGTCTAACACTCTGTCACACAGTGGCCAAGAATACCAGGTGCCATCAGGAGGTCCATCAGTGGGGCCAGGACACTAGAAGCTCTCCCACTGCCCCCCTCAAGCACCAAACTCATTTCTTAGTATAATGCTTCCAATACCAAATTGTAGATCATGGGGTTTTTTCCCTTACAAGCAGACAACAAGGAAATCGCTTATCTTATTCTTACTAGCACTATAATTCTCTTCACGCCAGTCATTAAAAATGTGCAAAACAACCCCAAGCAGGTATCAAAGAGTTTTCCAGAGCAAAGCTACCTACAAATCTTCTAGTATGAAATAACCATATATATTTGTATAAACGTATAAGTTGTCTGAGCTTCTTTCTAGAAAGAGTAATGCACATCAGAACTTTGTATAAGCTTTGCACCAAGGGCAATGCATATTCAGCTTTGGCAAAGAACCAGTGCCCAAGTAAAACTAGTAGCACATCCTCAAACTATGATCTCTCAGCTAACTTTCTATATAAATTTTTAAAAATATATATATATAGTTTTCCATTTTTTGAGATTATTTTTCACAGAGCTGCCAGTATAACTTTTAATAAAATCTTGAATTGAAAACCAGATACAAGTTAAACATGATGATAACTTCAATCCAAAACACAGTAAACACTGTTACTCACAAGCTGAGACATATTGTTGAATATGACTAAGTATGTCCAAGCATTTTTGAAGCTGAAATTCCCTTCATCATATACGCCAACAAGTTCACAGATTCTGAAAGAATTTAAACACAAACAAGTGTTCAAAAAACTCAGGAACTATGATATAAGTTCATGAGCCACTGGCAGAAGTCAGCAAGAATATTTCCATTAATCACAACTTTCTATTTCCAAATGGTCTCAGCAAAAATGACAGAATCAAGATCAAAATGCAGGCTTATGTGTGGCTTTACTCTGAAGTTTCAAATAATCCAGTTTGCCACAGCCTCCAAAGCCTCTCTCAAAATCTTACATAAATTACTGCATTAAAGAAAATTACTGCATGCTTCTGGTATGGAAATTCATCAACAAATTCTACAGAGAAGAATTTTTAATCATCAGATTTTTAAGGTTACCAGCAACCCAAGTTGATCAATAAAAGATTTAACCTACTATAACAGAAGGGCAAAGTACTAAAGTGCTTTTAAGTGGAGCACGAATTGGGAATGCTCATAATGTAACACTGCTGTACTGCACGCAACATGCAAGATGACTTGTTTTTGGCAAACAGTCTGGCCTGCATGTGCCATAACCAATGGTCTCCACATTTTGGCTGGGTATTTTTAAAAGTCAGAGGCACAGTCTTCTCTATTCCTTTTTCTCAAACAAAGTATATATAATTCTTTTGTGCTCACTGTCCACTGAGGGGGTTTTACATAAGGGAATGGAATGCCTGGGGTAACCACATCTTCCAACTCATGGCCCTAATGCTTAATCTGCTCAGGGAATGGAATGCCTGGGGTAACCACATTTTCCAACTCATGGCCCTAATGCTTAATCTCAGCATCTTGTCAGCAACCTAGAACAAAACAGTATACCTACAGCACAATATACTACAGATTTTCCTTGTTGGTCACTGTTGGATGCCTGGCAACTGTACCTATAGACCAATCCTTGGCTGAAATACATATGTACTTATAATCTGTCTAAATACATCACCAGAAAGCTGGTCAATGGTAGGTCTTTTTATGAGAAAGAATCAGAATAGTGTAATATGCTAGTATCACCAAAAGTTATTTTAAGGATTATTTAAATGGGTCACTGTCCCCATATAGAGAAACTCTTTGAGTGATTCCATAAAAGATGGCAAGGTAATCAAGTATAAAGATAATAATATAATATAAAGAGGAGAACTGCAGCCTAGACAGGCTCCACTGAGATCAGATAGAGCCACTATTCTAGATGATCATCTGTTACAAAGGCAACCATAAAGTTTTGACAGTCACCTGGAGCAAATAGCAACTGCTAAGCACCTCAGAGGTACATTGCACCTGCTCTGTAGGCAGCACCACTCTTCATAGTGTTCCACATGCACAGCACTTACACTAGAAGTCTCATACAAATTAGCTAATAGCCCCTTACGGCTAAAAGAAAATAAAAGTTCAATGGCAGCTCCATAGCACTGTCTTGTATGCCACTACATCTTTATCACTAGAAGGAAGAGGAAACTGCAATATCATCAGAACAGGAAGATGCAAAATGGTTGAAAAGAACAGGAAAGTGACACAGAATATCATCTATACACAGCATTATATAGGAGCACGGTTCTCAACACTTACAAAGCGATAATAGTGGTGAATGGTCTGACAACAGTATACTGCAAAACACCCAGCTTGCATCTGAACAACAGTGCCCTGCAAAAACGGCACACAAAAGGTGTCAGTACAATACAGCAACAGAAGCTGCTACATGTTTTTTGTCACACAATTTACATCAAGAGTCTTAATAAGTCTTTCATAGCCAAAGTGAGTAGCCAAAGAGTTGTTCCAAAGACTACCTTCTCAAATACAGTACAGTGGAGAACTGAGATCAAAATAACATTTTATTGCCAAAGAAAACATAAAAACCATTTGTAAGAGTTACAGCAGCCCTCACAAGCCATTATGTATTTTTCAATCCATGTATATAAAAAGTAACAGCTAGAATTTCATGCTAGACTCCTGCAGTTTAACCCTTTTGTAACAGTTAATAGAACAAATTACAGAAAATAATCAGTTGAGTATATTTTCTCATTTCAGGAATCCCTAAAATATATTTATTAAAATCCTAAGCCACAGTTCAGTGATTTGTCTGAAGAAAACAAGCTGTTCTATTCTACCATCTAACCATCACTAAAGAAGCTTCCAACTAATATTCAACATCTCCTCCTCACAGCTCCTCTTAGGTAACCCAACTTGTCCCAATATATTTTCACCTTTGAACATCTTATGAGTAAAAAGAGGTATCCATCAGTTTGCATCTCCAACAATGCTCCCATACAACTGCATACATTTTTCTTGGTGTGGCAGTACTACAAAATGTATGAGTTTTCTTCCAGCAATTCAGCTAATCAAATGCATTCAAATGTATGCAGCTCTTAATTTTTAAAAAAATAAGAATCCTTTTCCATTACAGTTTATACATAGCACTTCTTGACAATTTCATCAACATTACACACATTTTAAAGCTTTACACTGACCACCTACTGTTCAAATGCAATTAATGGCTTGCTAAGTCTCATATGAACATTGCATTTTAGTGATTATTTATTTATTTATTTTTGGGATTTCTATCCCGCCCTATCCAGTAGCTCAGGGCGGCTAACAACATCGTATAAATACTAAAACAATAAAACAGTTTTTCATACAATAAAATTGGTGCTAAAATCTATACAATCTATAGAGTTTACAGAATGCTCAGCGACTTGTTTCCTGCCTGCGATCTTAATGGTAAAAGCGTCACAGCTCAAACAGACTGATCAACCTCATAGGGTCTGATGGATGGGCGATACAGCGAAGGTAGTGTACGATGGTAGTGGCGGCGGCTCCTATCCAAAGGCCTGGTGGAAGAGCTCCGTCTTACAGGCCCTGCGGAACTGCACTAGGTCCCGCAGGGCCCGAATCTCCTCCGGGAGCTCATTCCACCAGGAAGGAGCCGCCTCCGAAAAAGCCCTAGATCTCGTATGGGCCAACCTCGCTGCTCGGGGGGCTGGAACTACCAGCCGATGGAGCATCCCCAATCTCAGTGCTCTTGAGGGAACGTACGGGAAGAGACGGTCCCTTAGATAGGCAGGACCCTGGCCATTCAGGGCTTTAAAGGTAAGTACCAGCACTTTGAAGCGAATCCGGTATGCTATAGGCAGCCAGTGCAGCGCTTGCAGCACAGGCCGGATGCGGTCTCGCCTGTAAAGACCCATCAACAGCCTGGCTGCAGCATTCTGCACTAGCTGCAGCTTCCGGATTTGCGACAGAGGCAATCTGCAAATACTGGGAAAAGATAAGGCATCGGGTATTCATTTTACTCCACTAATTGTAAAAGTATCCACTGTCAAACCAACTGACAAAGCAGATGATCTCACATAACCATTAAGTCATTTTCTGGCCAATTTAAAGGTAGAATCCTAAGGTTCTATCTGCTAATTTACTTTGAGCTGTACTACATTTCTGATACCCCCCCCCAATATTCCAAGGGTTCAACAATCCCCAGAAGCCACATTGCAGAGAGCACAAAAAGCTGTAGAATGGGGGGGGGGGGTCCATTCTGCACTTTTACCACAAAATACTGCTCTTAAAAGAGAGGTCACAAATGCTAAAAATTACCAATATTTACCCTACCTAGACATAACCATAACTGTATTTTTGCAGTCATATCCATAGACTCTATTCCACTGTATGCAAGCAACAAGTTGAATGATCATCTTAATATCTATTATAGATATCCCATTATTTGATAAACACAACTATGAGATGCTCATTATCCCATGGTGGAATCCCAAATAAAACGTACTAGAAGTAAACTGCACTTGAATTTAATTTCACTTGCAGAAATTTTCTGATGATCCTTAGCCAAAACTTAATTAGAATAATCTCCTTCAACTACAGTCACTATATTAGAACAATTTATTATAATTCTTTTTTCAATGAAAAATATTTCTATAAATTATTTCTGTAAATCACTTTGTGCATCAAGATTTTATGATCCATACTAGATCAATTTCCACAAATACTCAAAGGGGGGAGGGGGGAAGTACTTACTCTCCCATAGCCCAAGGTGGACAGCAGCACAATGGTGGTAGATGTTTCTGCTGATCTTTTGCTTCTATGATTAATACCAGATTTGGATATTGATTGGTCAGATAATTTGAAAGAAAGACCATGAAGTTATAGATGACATAGGCTTCATAGCATTCTCTACAAGTATCCACATAAATTGCAATTTTGGGGTATTTCAATGCTATCCACTATCAAGAAAGAGACATTAAGAAATTAGAAAAAATGCTCACTGTAAGCAAATAAGCTTATAGTTACGATTATGTATTAATCACAAATTCAGTAGCAAAGAACCACAGTAAAGATTTTAATAGTTAAAGATTTATAGTCCTATACAGAGCATATTTACATAAAGCAAGCACCACTGAATTCAACAGGACTTACAAACATCCATTACAACCTTTGTTTGACTCACCGCTGCTAAGTATATAATGCCAATGGTATGCTAAATGATGTACTGAAAGGAAATAACTTAGTCTCCACCCATATGACATTTAACCCATATTAAATATAGATGTGCATAAATCCATATTCAATTGTATAACATGCTATTATTTACTGTGATATCCAATAAAAGCAATACACTTAAAATATTTCACTCCTACTTCTTTGGCTAACCTTAACGGAAATTATCTTGACATGTCCCCAAACATACACACTGTATTTTCACAAAAAAAAAAATGATTAGTATATTAAGTGAAACAAACCATATGCAAAGTTCACAGAATTCTGAAGCTGGCTTACAAAGAACAGGAAAATAAACAAGCTGATAGCTAGAAGACACTTACACTGTCTAGACTGTAAATTGGCACCATCCATAGAATCCTGTCATAACAAAACACATTTGCAATTAATCAATGTATTCTTTATATTGCTTTAAGGAAAAACTTCCAGCAGCACAGATACAGTTACCTTATTATTGGTTTTTGTAATTCAGGTTGAGTATAATGAACCAAATGTTGCAATATTCCCCAAAGAGATATTGGTATCGTCATCAGTAAAAAGATTCCAGCAATAAACCATGCCTTGGTTTGGATTCCAACCTTAAAGAACATAATAAGATGCAAATTACAGTAAAATATTTAAACTGTAACGGCAATATACTAGTGAAGCAATCCATAAAAGACATTCAAACTAAACTTGCTGATGCTGAAACAACCCTACCGTAATTACAGCTGGTGTGATGTAGCAGTTGGCTTAAGCAAGTCTGAGAGATCTAGGTTTAAATGCCCACTTGCCACAAAACTTAGTAGGTGACCTTGAACCAGTGGTTCTCTCTGAACTTAACATACTTCAAAGTATCACAGTGAGGACAAATGAAGGAGAGAACCTGCACTCACTGGAGGAAGAACAGGGCAAATATAAACAGGATCAATCTATTCTACTATAAACAGATGCTTGCTTGCAAATTTTAATTATTAATTTCTGAAGCTGTACTTTGATTAGGGTTGTAAGAATAGATAAATGTCTAGTTAAGTACAACAGCTACACAGAAAACAAGGGTTTTTTTCTGTACTAAAAGTCAACATTGGCCCAGATCACACGGCTATCCTGAAGCGTGGCAAAGAAGCGGCACAATCACACCGGCAATCGCTAAGCACCGCTTCCATGGCAAACCGGAATTTTTTTCCCCTCACCGACATTCGTGCATACACTGTTGGGCGCTTGTGCACATCCTGTGGAGACTAAAAAAAACCCATCCGATTTGCGAGAGGACATGGACGGGCGCCGGATGCCACGGGATTCAAGCGGAAACGCGATCAGACGCCTGCCCCTGCCCCGCGGTTTCCAGGAACTAGTGCGCTTTCTGCAGTAGTTTTTTACTCCGCATCTTCGGCAGGAAGCCACGGGTTAGCCACGGGTGCACTATGCTTCCCAGATGTTGCGGTGTGATCACGCACCGAAAATCCAATTGTCATTCGTGTCTTTAGCACGGCAACTTCTCTATATGAACGGGGCCTTAGTTGTACTTCACTGGCTGGGAATGACCAGGACTGTATGGTCCACCACATCATTTAAGTAATACTTTAAGACAAAAAGCATGCACATATTTAAGGGATAAACATACATAATGATGCTGTATATCCCAGGTATACACTGCCTGTGCCTTTTCATATACATGCATCTTCTAAATTTTACTGTTAAAAAAAACAGTGATATATTTTTTCATTATTATATAAACAGCCATAAAGGTTCTAGTAGATGCCATGGAAAAATATATATTTAATCAGTGTCTTCAAGTGGCTCTGCCCATCTGCGGCAGTAGTACCAAGCAAATTAGAACAGTAAATGAAAAAAGGTCAAATGGAAGAACTGCCCTATTTGGTGTTTGATGCTACCAACGCTGGTTGTGAACCTACTGCTAAAAGACAGAGATTGATGTTACTATTTAAGGTCTAGCCACAGCACACAGAAACCTTGATGCATCTTAAAAACCTAGTGGAAGTAATATTTACCACTAAAGCGAATCTCCCTGTTCTGCAGATACTTGTCCTCTCCTGACATTTTTGCTGTCTCGCCATCTGGAACTCTTAACTGTAGAGACCTGCACCTATACAGAGGCTGAAATCTCCACTTCTTGCCATTTCTCCCCAGGTCACCTGTGCTGCGTCTAGGTTACCGGGGATCAAGTTTTCAACTTTCTGAGACTTGTGGCAGACATGAACTGCCCGGATCCCAGAACAAGCCCCTCAAGGCCGAGTTGGCCTGCCGAGATTTTAGCAGACGCCTTTTTCTTTTGTGACCTCAATCCTGAACTAGGTGGCAGCTCCTACCCAGAAGCTCCTCAGACAGAAGAAGAAGAAGAACGCCCATCTCTCGAACAAACCACCCGGGGGCACGGCCTGTAGCCTCCAAGGCCTACAAAGAGGGCGCAAACTCCCCCAACCGCGTCTCCGTAAAGAGTAGGGGAAAGTTCGCCCGTGACGCATTAACTGTTGCGCGCAGCCCCCCCCCCCACCGAGGATGTCAACCAGGCACCCCTCCGCCTGCCCACCCCCAGGATCCGGGGGGTGCCCAGGGATGCCCGTCGCCAGGTGGGACCCGGGGATCCCCTGGAATTACAGCTCATCTCCAGACTACAGAGACCAGTCCCCGCCGCCCCGCCCCGGCGAGACAAGGGGTGCTGGACTGAGGTAACCCAGCCTGGGTCCGTCAGCCCCGTCCTCCGTCCGCTCCCCTCCTTCGACGAGGGTCTGGCGGGGGGTGTGTGTGCTCGGAGCCCCCTCGGGGAGCCTTTCCGCCGCGGCCCCTCCCCGCTCACCTCCAGCTTCTGCAGCTCCCACACGCACAGCGGCAGGACCACCAGCAGCCCCACCACGTAGATGGTGGCCACCAGCGGCCGGATCCAGCGCCGCCAGTTCCCGCAGGTGCACGGCATGGCGCCGCTCTCGTAGCAAGGCCCTCAGCGCAGCCTCGGGTCCGACGGGATGCCCCCCCGCCGCCGCCGCCGCGGCCTCCGGGTCACGGGCCCAGCACCAGGCCGGCTCCACAGCCGTTCTGCGGAGGGGAGAAGCTCCCCAGCGGCATCCCGGCCGCTGCGACGGTTGCCGCTCCCCCGGTCCCCCGCCCCGCCCATCTGCCGGCCTCCTCCTTTCGTCTCAGTCTCTGTCTCCTTCCTGCACGCAACAGCCGCCTCGAGGAGGGCGCTTTGGCCCCGCCCCGCAGAACCCGCAGGCTCCCCGAGGCCACGCCCCCTCTTCTTCTCAAAGCAAGGCCGGCCGTTGGCCACGCCCCTCCCGCGCCCTCTTTGAGGTCCAAGAGAGGCGCTTACTCTAAGGGCGGTGCTAACGGCGCTTCCGGCATTTACAAACAAACGCACGCCCCCTTTCGGTGTCGAGAAGCTATGCATCATCGTGCGGCTATTCATGAGCATAGTCAGGCGTGATCAGGTGGTATTCTTTCTTGTTAGTAAACTCCAATATCAGTTAGCCAGAAAAACGTGAGGTATCGTACGGTACAAATATATGCATACTACAGTAACTCTGCTATTACATTGTACTGCTTTTGGGTTGTGTGTCAGTGGACAGAATGTGTAAAGTAAGAAGTCTCAGCTCGTGACCATTAGGTAGTCCACTCTCTCCATGGGTAAAAATGGCTCTTGTCATATACACGTTGTGTAATTTTCTCCCCCTCCCCCCTTTAGGATTTAATTTACCAAATTTTACACCAGAAAAACAGCCTTTTAATATGTATCTGTGTTGGTAAACAGGTTCATAGAATAATTTATCATATGTTTCTGATTTGGGATTTGCAGCTTCTTGTGGGAATAAAAATACCCAGGTCTTTCTTTTAGAGGGGAAGCCCTTCCTCTGTTTTTGCAAAATTAGAGAGGAGTCCCATGAGTCAGAGCTTACGTCACCATTTGGTCAGAGTTTATGATGGAATAAATGTTGTTAGTCTTTAAGGTGCTACTGGACTCTTGCTCTTTTCTACTGCTACAGCAGGTGGTGCACGTGGCCCACGGGGGAACTGTTAATTTTGTTGTGTTTGAATTGTTAATTGCTGGCTTTGGCCGTAAATAAAACTAAAAGTAAACTACTGCTATAGACATATTGTTTAATTCAGGTCCTTATTTTTAATTTATGGCTTTATCATCCGAGAAAAGAGAATTCCAACACTGGAAAAGGAGTTAGAACTTTTGATGTTTTTTACATGCACTGCATCTGTAGGGATGTGGCTCTAATGGTCCAGGAATTCTTTATTCTAGAGCAGGCTTGTTGAGCGTCTTCTTCAAATTATAAGTCTTCCATACATGAATCACCATACAGATTATAAATAGCAAATATAAGAAGACTTTTACCATTCAATTTGCATACAGTGCCACCGGAACAAGTTTAGGCCACGATGATTACTAGAGTAATGGGGAATATGACTGAAAGTAAAATACTTCTTTTCAATTATGACAAGTCTGCTTATATAAAACACAAAGGCAGTGTGTGAATTTTCTTATTATGATCTTAAACTATGAAATTAAAGAAGAACAGAATGGATTACTCACAACTTTAGAACAGGTTTCTGTTTGTATGTGATTGGAATAAAGTGTTTGGCTCCTTTTGAATATGATTAATGGGCCTGCTCAAAGCATAGCAGCATAAATTGCTCTGGGCAGCATACACTTGCTGTGGCAAATAGCAGCATAAATTGCTCTGGGCAGCATCACTTGCTGTGGCACAGGCAAATGCCATTTGTGAATCCCCTGATACTGGCCACATACAAAAATGCATTTTAAAAAATACAAAAACATTTCATATATGAGAAAGCCTTTTTGGTTCCTTCCCAAGTCAGTCTCTGAGCTGTGTGAACACAGCATTGTTTACTGTGTCCTTGGACTACACAGTTTTGTAATTTTTCAAGTGTCCAAATTGGGGTCATCAGGGGAACCAAAACTGCTAGCTAAAGTTCAAGCTACATTTTACTTAGAAGGAGAATGAAACTGGGAAGACCAGCCATGAAGGAGCTAGAAAAGATCCTTAAGTGTAAGGATGTCTTGCTGGCAACCAGGAACAAGACGATGCATGCCATAGTATTTCCAATTAGTATGTGTGGCTATGAAAGTTGGACAATGAAGACAGCTGACAAGAAGAAAGTTGATTCACTTGAAATGTAGTGCTGGAGGAGAGTTTGGTAGATACCATGGGCTGCCAAAAAGACAAATAAGTGGTTTGAAGATTAAAGCAAGTCTGAACTCTCCCTAGAGGCTCAAATGACTAAACTGAGCCTATCATACTTCAACATATTATGAGGAGACAAGAGTCACTGGAAAAGACAATAAAGCTGGGAAAAGTTGAAGGCAGCAGGAAAAGAAGAAGACACAACTAAATCAAGGAAGCCGTGGCTCTCAGTTTGCAAGACCTGAGCAAGGCTGTAAACGATAAGACATTCTGGAGATCATAAATTCATAGGGTCCCCATAAGTCGGAAGTGATTTGATGGCATCTCTCTCTCTCTCTCTCACACACACACACACACACACACACAGGTCGCCAACCCCCAGTTGGTACCTGGAGATCTCCAGGAATTACAACAGATCTCTAGATCACAAAGATCAGACTACAGATCTCCAGATGACAGGAGTCAGTTCCCGTAGAGCAAATGGCTGCTTTGAAAAATTAACTCTGTGACATTATATCCCAGGCTGCACCTCCAGATTTCCTGGACTTTCGCCACCTGGAGCTGGCAACCCTAGAATAGTCAAATTCGGGTCCAGTAGCACCTTAAAGACCAACACGATTTCAAGAGTCAAAGCTCCCTTTGTCAGTTTTTCACAATTATTCTCATTATTATTTTTTTCTTTCTTTGTAATTAGCTCTATGTTATATGTGGAAAGCATACCACATGCCAGATGGCCTATGCCCTGCTGTCCTCCCGCATCAACAGAACAATAGTTAAACTCTTATCAGTTAAACTTTAAAAGCAAGATTCAGGAAAATGTTTTGTCTGTGTAACACTTGGCAAGGGCTGATGTCAGAGGGCAACTGATTCTATAGGGCCACAACTCAGAAAGCCTTGACCCAAGATCTAATCACACTTAACCTTTGAATTAAAGAGACTTTGCACTAAAGACAAGAAGAAACCTACTTATTCTTTAATAGCTTCTAGATAAAGGCCCCTGGAATTGGAAGAACTTTTATACCAGCTGACAGAAATCCAAAACCTGATCTTCCTGTTGAAAATTGCCATTGACTATTGAGTGACTATTGAGTCTATAGAGGTAGACTGGCATCCCTCCGTCTCTATAGAGAAATATTTTGTACTGGAAAATAAGAGTGAAAACCAATTAGTTTTATGCCAGAAGTAACTATGTCCTGTCTCACACACACACAAACCCCAGTTTGAGCAACACTGCTTTAAAGGTTAGAACCCTGTAGTCAATGGGATTTTAGCAGACTGAGTACAAGATTGTGATTTTAGAGGTGTACACATGGGTTTGTATGAATAACTCTTGGAAGCCATTTATCACTTCTCCACCTCAACCCTGACTTTCCCTGGAAGGCCAGATACTGAAGCTGAAGCTCAAATACTCTAGCCACCAAATGAGAAGGGAGCACTGACTGGAGAAGACCCTGATGCTCGGAAAGATTGAAGGTAAAAGAACAAGGGGACAGCAAAGGATGATATGGTTAGACAGTGTTATCGATGCAACAAACATGAAATTAAGCAAACTCCGGAGGACAACGGAAGACAGGAGGGCCTGGCATGATCTGGTCCACGGGGTCACGAAGAGTCGGACTCGACTGTGTGACTGAACAACAGCACTGTCATTTTCAGTCCCACATCAGGAAATATAGTTTTCTTACTGCAGTTTTTCCCAAGCATTCATTTGTTTTTATGTATATTCAGGCCTATCCGTAGGGTCTGGTCAGATTATATGAATATGTACCATAAATATACATTGTAGAATGGGAAGAGATTCTACCAACCATTTAACAAACAGGCAATATTCTTTGACAGCTGCTCTCCATTTGAGCTCTTGATGGGAAGAAAAGGGGTGCAAGCTCCTAGCAGCTGATGATTTCTCTGGCTAACAAGTGACACCTAAAGTCAGAAGTTCTTAGCTATCAGTTGTGGTGGAGTTCTGGATTTGAAGGAGGAGACAAGCAAGCTCCCGGCATTTGTTGGCTCTCATTTGTCTATGTGCTTATGTGCTTTTATGTCATGTTTACAACAGCTGAAGAAATTATTTTGTTTGTTCCAAGGAAAGTCAATCCAAGTGTCCAAAATTCATGCTGGCGATGGCAGGCATGATTCCAGAATTGCGCAATCATGTGGCTTCTGTAGCTGAGAAAGAAAGATGTTTCCTATTAGCAGTCCTTTGAAGACGGATTAACATTATGAACATTTCCCTTTCCCCTCTTTGATTGCAACTGGTGTAGAAAAGAGGGTGGATCGTGAAAATTGTTGTCAACATCCTTGCACCGATCCAGACACTGTGCATTCTGCCCACCCCAGTAAGTAAGGGGTGAGCAGCAATCAGGGAATGTATATCATTCTTTTGTGACTCATACTGTATTTTATTAGATTCCCAGTTCAGTTTCTCAATACCAATCATTTCCTGTTCAGTTATGTGCACCACTAAAGCCTCATAACAGCTTTTGTTTTTATGCATCCCATCCAATGTGGTACGGAAGAAATATGTTAATGGCTGGGAGGTCCGAACCTGCAGACAAAAGGAGAGTGACAGAAAAATGCAAAAGCAAGAGGAGGAGAGGCTAATGCTGAACAACAATAGTTATTTCTTGCCAAAACCATTTGAAGCTGTTTGTAAGATCTGAGGAACGAGCATTGTTTTTGACAGGTAAAGCACTTATAAAAGTATGGAAAATTTGAGTAGGAAGGAAAATGTGCTTGGCAGTACAAGTTCTAAATGTGCAAAGCACAGTCAGGTCTCTTCTGTTGATTGTAGTATGAATGCAACAATTATGTTATCCATCGAAATTGAGCTTTGAAGCACCTAATTGTATCTGCTACATTCATAGCCTACAAATGCAGGCTGGAAAGTACGATTACATGCCATGTTTCTCAAGTCTGGTAGCTGGGGTCATAATGAAGTTTTTCTTTGAATTACTGTAATTGGATACAAGGCACTGAGGGGAGGGTTGTTTGTTTCATGTTGTGTTTGT